GTGGGGTAATTGCATTTGCAGGAAAGTGGGGCACATGTGTGACGGTCGACTGCATATTAAGTGGCCTCTGGCCAGGGCATAAAGTGCATGGCCCGCTATTAGACTCGGCTCTGGAATACCGGCCTTGGCCAATACTGTTCGCTCAATTATCACCTATAAATATGGCCACTGCCCCTCGCCCCCCAGAGATTCTTCGATTGGCGAGTAAAGGCGTGAGTCAGCCGCACATTAACCGCCTGTCATTCAGCCAATTACCTGGCCGAAGGCAAACAAAGCAACGCAAATATACGAGTACATAATATAGTATACATTATTGCGATCTATGGCAAATGGCTGGTTGCATGGCAACGATCACGATCCGCGGCGGCATTCATTCATATTTCTTTATGCCCAAATATTGCTCATACTGGGTGTTTTCTTTTTTCCATTTCCTTTACGGTATGTAACAGCTGTTTCTGGGAGAGAGAGAAAGAGAAAATGGGAAAAAGAAGATGCACAAGCTACAGATTCTGTGTGGTGCTCTCCCATTCGAAATTGTCGCTTTCCAGTCGCTCGAATGAATTCAGCGAGGGATCCCTGAAATGAACTCTTCAAGCTTCCAAGAGAGAGAAAGCAAGAGAGAGTGTGAGTAAATTGGCTTGAATTTTGTGTGGACGATGGCGGGGATTTCTTTTCGCTTTGCAAGCGTTTGGCGTTTGGACGTGTCGCTCGAATGTCGCGTCGGACCCGCACAATAAAGTTAGTTTAACTGGGCGTATACGCAACGGGGACCACGGGGACCCCCGTTTTTTTTTTATTTGTTGTTGTCGTTGCCGAGGTTCAGCATCCGCCCTGTGGTGCGGGGTGAATTTCTATTCTTTCCTTTTCTTTTTTGGCCCCGTCTTTCGTCTGATTCTCCCGTCGATTCGTCGTGCGGCCGTCGTTACTACGCGATCCCCATACCGATACCGATTTCGAACGACCGCCAGTCGCTGACCGCCGCTCGTGCGTACCGCTCGCTCTTCCACATCCGCATATCCGCAACGTCAACGCATCCGCATCCGGAGCGGAATCCGCTCCTCCAGAACAGCTGACCGGATGACCGTTTTATTTGGAACTAGCAGCATTTCCAAGGCACGGGACTTTTAACTCAGAAAACAACTCTCGAACCTTAGTATTTTGACTATCTGCTATTTTTAACGCGTGTGTTTGTGCGACCAAAACACACTCACATATTAACGAACACACACTTTTCCCCATTTCACATATATTCCAATTTTTTTCTTCTTAACAAATTTGCCCGAGTTTCGCTGCTTCTATGCGTGTGTGAGTGGAAAATTTCGTTGCGTTAAATAAGTTATAAAACAATATGGATTAACGAACGACACGAGCTGGGTGGAGAACTCAATTGGAAAAGCCAAATAAATGGCGGCAGTTACGGTTCGAAAAACCAAACTAAACAACGAGAGTGCCAAATATTAAATATGACTGCTATTAAACTCCTTTGTACAGAAAACACGGCTATAACTCGACTAAAAACCCAACCGAAAATAAAACAAAATTTATCGAAAATATAAAACCATGGCGATCAATAGGCCAAAAAGTCAAAGTGTCAGTGGCCACTTTTTGCCAGCCACTTGCCAACCAATTTTTCACGAAAATGCAGTGCCAAATGAAAATTCCGAAAAGTGCAAGGGGTGGACTAACTACAGTAGTCGGGCCTGTTGGGTGTTAATACTTAATTTATGTGAACCTATAAATAATTTCAATTTAGAGAATGTGCTGCTGTTGACTGGCTCGGCCGTCTTCTATATAATATAGTGCGAGTTGTACGAAAAATATGCTAAAAATACCAAAAACTGAACGCTGCGTGTTCGTTTTTAAAGTGTGTGTATGTGTGTAAATGTGTATATGAATGTGTGTTGTTGGGTATGTGTGTGTGTGCGAGAGAGTGCAATGCAAATTGATTAAAATGCAGGCGAGAACACGACCAAAAAAAACACAAAGGCTGTCTAAATAAACTTAAGTGAGACTAGATGAAAAACGCATCCAACAAAACAAACGTTCGTTCATCAACAAATTCGACGTCAGTCAGTGGACTATTATTTAATTTTCTATCCATCTAGCCCAAGGCAGAAAGACCAACCAAAAAAAAAAAAGAAAAAAGAAAGGAAAACTCAAAGCAAAACGCGGGCGGGGACAGTTTTGCCAGTTCAGAAAATGAAAAGAAAAGCAGGCAGCACCGCCGAGTGAAAATGAAATAGACTTTTGCCAAGCACTAAAATACGGTTGAACAATATTACGAATATTTTCGTTGCTCGAACTCGCCGAGCAAAATTTCAGTTCACTTGTATCCCATTTTGTTTGCCTGTTTTGCTTCAGCTTTTGCTTTTGCTTTCGCTTCAGCTTTAGCTTTGTTCGAAAAATCTTTTAAAATAACAATGATACATGCCCCTGTCTTCTGCAATGTGTTTCTTGGCCGCTGGCCTGGGTATAAATAAATGCTCATACGTAAATGTTCTTTATCAGAGAGTGATAATGTGGCCTGGGAAATATTTACTATGGCCGCTCGCGATCGATTGCTCTATTTGTTGTCTAGGCGATTTAGGCTTAATTTATAGCAGACCCCGATTTTTCGTTTTGATCTTGAGTCCAAACACCTGTCTCAAGAAAATAAAGTAATTATTATTTTGAACTTTTGGTACTATTATCCATTTCTTTATTAGTAAGTGGGAATGAATATAAACGGTTTATAAGTAATGTACAATATTACATTTCAATGAGGAGAGGGAAAGTAAAAATAATTTTCTGTAATAGGTGTTACATTTCCAAGACATTTGAAATTTGTTAGAAAGTTTTGTATATGTATAAACACTGATAAATTTATAAGAAAAGCGAACACAACTGAATTTAGGTTATCTATTAGAAAATCACTTGAAATAAGGTTTTATTTTTTAATAAATTGTTTCCGATTGAAACATCTGAATTATTGAGGAATCAGGAGGGAGGAAAATCAATGTTTTTGTTGGCACAATATCAGACAATGTGTGTTACTAGGTGGAGGAGCCTGGCATAGCCTGCCCATCACTGCCACTTTCCAGCAGGTGTGCAAACACATCTCACCTGGCCATAAACACGCTCCGCCTGTTGCTGCAATGCCCTGGCCAAAAAATCTCTTCGGTTCCGAAACAATTTTGTTTAGAACAAACCCCGGGAAGAGGGAGACTGTTGCCCAAGAAGCGCAGGAGAACGAGCTCCTGGTCGTGCGGTGTGTTTTTTCATCATCATTAATGTTTAAACAAAACAACATTGCCAGACTCGAGGAATGGGGGAAAAAAAGAGACACCCTCCTTTGTTCAGCGCCCCCCTTTTCCCCCAATTTATCTTGATTCCGCTCGGTGTGTGTACGTTGTCTATTAATAACAAAGCTTCTGAAGAATTCGCCTCTCCTGGCGTCTTGTCTCGACTCATCTCGTTTCGAAAAACCCAAATCGTTTTGGCGTCGACCGCAAAAGAACAATAAAACCGAAGAAGCAGTCAGAAGCTAATGCCGACCAGAAAGCCAGAAAACCAGAAAAAAAAGAAAAGACAAGAAGCTGAATGTTTGCCGAATACGTCGTGTTGCAAGATGATTAAAGTAAACAAGACCGGAGAGTCCAATAGTTCAAACAGGCAGTGATGGAGCACTCGGCGTTCCACCAAATTGCAATTTGCAGACGCCTGAATTCTCGATTGAGTGGAGGGAATTTTCAAGTTTTTGGCACAACCCCCACTATTTTGCCCTTTGGCGCTGCACTAAGTGAGGAATGCGGCAACATGGCGTATACGCATTTTTTCCCCACTCTGTTGTTTCGGGGCAAATTGGCTTGTGTGTCTCTGTGAAACAAGCTGAAATTCACTTGAAAAAAGCGACTACGGCAAGGGCAATTATTAAAAAAAATTGCTACCGATTCTGGAAAATAAACGCACAAATCTTTTTTCCCCATTCGTTTAGTTAAGGCTCGTTAAAGCAGAAATGCCAAAAAAAATAATAATAAAATCTGTAGTGTACTGCGTCTGAGATTACTCATAGAAAAAATTCCTCCAGCTCCAGTTAAAAACCACATGGCCCTGTCTGAAATTAATAAAGGGAAAATCGAAAATTTAATACCGAGTGACAACAGAAAGAAAACCAAAACCATGAAGACACTGAAAGTGCTTTTCGTGGCATTCGCCTGCTACTATGCACTTTTCGTAATTTTCTACTACTGCTATCGGGCGTACCTCTAAGATATATCTATATATCTTCGCGTATGTGTATATGTATGCAAGGGAAACAGCTGAGCGGAGCTGAGAAAAACCACCACCCACTCGAGAGGCGGTCTGCCATTGAGAATTTCGGCCTTTGACGTGGCTCGTGCACACACAGAAAATTCACATATTCGAGTACACATCGGACAGATATATCTATATATATACGTGGTGGTGTAGTGATAAATTCGGTGGCTGCCAGTGCCAGGCGAAATAAAAAGGAAAACTCGCCGAAAGCGGCCGTTGCAACCGCAATCGAATGCAATTACATCGAATCCATAATGCATCGTCACCTCACATCGTCATCCTCTCGCCCACGTTTTTCTCCAAGGTATTTTCCAACCCGAACCCCCTGAAAAATCCCTGCGAACCCTTTGCATTCATCCCAGTCATTTCAGACCATAAAAATCGCATGGCAAGACGCAGAATGATGAGGAAAACATTTAAGACACTCGCCAGATAAAAATCAATTAAACGCGCCTTATAAATCAACCGGAATATGCGCAATTTTCCCACTCCAATAGTTCCGTTTCGCTGATTTATTTGGTAGAATCCAGCAAATGTTTATGCATTCTCCTTACAGCTGCAAATGAATTTTATGACCCCTATATATGCGCTTATTTTTACGTTAAGTCAATTGCATAATGTGATTAATTTCCTGGAAAACCCGCTGTGCTTTCCCATAAATTCTTCAATCTAATTTATGAAGTATTTTTACGATTTGCTTACAGATCAATCGCCGACTTTTTTGTTTTGGTAAATGACCAATGATGGCCTACGACATTAGCATAGAAATCCACAACCGCAACTGTCAGAGGACATTGACATCGGACGCTCGGTTTATGCAGATTTGAAGTCGAGCCGGGGAGAAAAAAGAACGAAGGAGGGCAACAAATTGCAACTTTCGCGTTTCAGTGAAAAACCCAACAATTTAACCACGCAACATAAATATATATAAGTAAATATATATTTACATATATTAACTAGCCCTAAAGCACCACTAGGTTAAGCACAGAGCAAACGAAACCAAGCGAAACGAACTATAGACACTAGATTCACAACCCGGATCAGATGAGGCAACAGTCGGTGGTGCAACAATCGAGCGGAAAATCAATGAGCAGCAGGCGGAGGCACCGAAAGCCAAAGGCAAAGTCAACAGTATCCACAACTTTAAACCGCCTGACACTTTGAATTCCGAGGCTCGAGCATGCAACAGGCTGGCCAGCTGACGCCGCAGCAGCAACAGCAACAGCTCCTGCAGCAGCAGCAATTGCAGCAGCAGCAGCAGCAGCAGCAGAACGGCGGCGATCTTGCCACCTATGCCGTTTCGCAGGCGGCGGCCGTACCGCCCGGTAGGCGTGGCCCCATAAGCGGCGGCCGCTTCGACTTCGAGGACGGCGGCACTTACTGCGGCGGCTGGGACGAGGGCAAGGCCCACGGCCACGGCGTCTGCACCGGACCCAAGCACCAGGGCGCCTACGCCGGCGCCTGGAACTACGGCTTCGAGGTATCCGGATCGTACATTTGGCCCAGGTATGTAATTAATATTTATAAGTTTAAAAACAATTGATGCCTTAGCGTGGGTGGAGAATTAATAAAGGGTTAATACAAAATTAAATCATATAATTATTGTTTAATCATATTTATACTAGAACGTTTAGACTGCAATAAGGTTTCCCCTAGTATTTGTTCCTTTTAGTTTCGTGTTGATATTGTAATGAAAATAAATTAAACAATTCTCCTCTTTTAGTACAGACATTTTGTGATAAAACACAAAGCCTATAAAAGACTTATAAATAACGGAACTCTTGACTTGAATAGCTTTTAGATTTTTTGAGTTTTAATACCTCCTATTTTAAATTTATTGTATATATTTTTAGTAAAGTTGGATTGCAGACATAAAGGAAATATAGAATTTTACGCAAGTAAAATTTGATAAACAATGATTGTATATTTAAGGTTAACAAAATGTTACTATTGTGTAGGGAGAACCCACAAATATTTTGAAATTCACTTCATTTATAAAATGAATTACTTTATTTTCTTAAAATTTTATGGAAACCCGTTTTCTTATTCGGGATTTTTGTTTAGTTCATGCTCCCACAAGAAGTAATTCAACTTTTGTTTTGAAATTCTTTTAGCTTACCTATGTAACTTTTAACTTAATCTTAAATCTTTTTTATTACAGCGGATCACACTACGAGGGTCAGTGGCAGAACGGCAGGCGGCATGGGCTGGGCGTGGAGCAGATCGGGCGGCAGATCTACCGCGGCGAGTGGTCGAAGGACGGGCACAAGGGGCGCTACGGAGTGCGGGAGAGCACCGTGTCGACGGCCAAGTATGAGGGCACCTGGAACGAGGGCTACCAGGACGGGTCCGGATGCGAGACCTACGCGGATGGCGGTGAGTGGTGGGCGGGACAATGCTAGAAGGGTGGGGCGCAAGCGGGAAGGGGCGGTTGCCCTGGGCGCCATACGCTGCGTATACGTAATGTGCATGAGATCATTTTGCGTTTGGTTTTTGGCTCACTTTCAAAACGGCGAACATTAGTTCGGTTTTCTCGCCTGTTGTTTTACTTTTTGACGTTTCTGTAATCATTTTCTGGGTGTGTGTTTGTGTGTGTGTGAGTGTGAGTTCTATTCACAAACACATCCTTACGAATCCACCGACGACCCAGCCTGACGTCATATTTTATTTCCCCGCGTGCGGTTCAATGATATTTGGCTTTCCCGCTTCGGTTTTTCACTTTGTACATTTTTGCTGCATGAGTGCGGCTTTTTCTGGTTAAAACATATTCCCGTTCGGGGGAAAAATGTAAAAACACATGGCCAAGTAACCGATTGCCGCCAGCAGACTTGAATACCAAGATCTGGAATTCCCACCATTAGGGAATTGTTTTGCTGCGGCCAAAATGCAAATATAAATGTCACCATTTCTCGCAAAGGAATTGCCGCATAACCATCAATTAGCATTAGCCGAAGGCTAAGTAGCGTTTCCTAATCAACTAACGTAACTTCTAATTCCACAATTAACCTGGACATCGTAGAAAGAAGCACTGAAAGTAAATTAATAGATTAAATGGGGAAACCAAAAAAGAGAAACATAATAATTATACTTTAATTCAATAAAAAGTTTATGGCTTGACATAATAAAATTATTTAGTCATAAATAAAATACAAAGTTTACTATATAATATAGTTTCATAATATAGTTTCATTGAAAATTTATGATTTTAATCTTCATAAATTTAAATTGATTAAAATGTAATTAATAACACATATTTAGCTTGATAAATTTTGTATTACGGTAATAAAATGAACTTTGATTGAGTGCCTTTGCAGAAAATATAAAATGGTTCGTTGATTTATTTTTTTCCGTGTGTAAATGAGCTGTATTACTTAAGAGCCAACGCCATTGAGCAAAAGGGAAATGGCGCGTGGAGCCATTAATAGAAACCTGAACAGAGGGGCAAGCTTTTCACTTAGGCCAACTTCTGTAAGGGAAGAAAATGGAAAAGAGGGCACTGCAGTCTGCGAATGGGAGTTCCATTAGCATAACAATTCCTCGAAATGGACTGCAGTCATTTGATGAAAACCCCATTTTTTTATTGCAGGCAAATACCAGGGTCAATGGCAGGAGGGCAAGCGGCATGGCTATGGAATTCGGACCTCGGCTCCTTTTGGATTGGCCTCCCATCATCGGCGCAAAAATCTCCACGCCTCACTGAGTTCCTTGAGGAGCGGAGAGAATGGAAATGCAGCCAAGATAGTGGAAAAGGCGGAGGAAATCCGTGGAGGATTCGTCCTGACGGCAAAGTCCGATAAGTTGCCAGTGCGACGAAATAGTTTGACGGATAAAACCGGCAAGAAGGGATTCCTGATGGTGAGTTTGGAAGGGGGATCTGTTCTATTATTTTATTTATTTTTTATTATATTTCTTATCAGGGTCTTAAGATGCGAAAGCAGCGTAGTACCGGCGATCTGGAGAAGCGAGGTACCATTGCGTCCGGCAGCATTCGCTCCACCATGTCCTCTGCCTCCTGGATCAGCACCGGATCCGAGCAGTCCAATCTGACCACAAAGTAAGTACTCTTAACACATATTAAGTATTAAAACATATTACACAAATATGCCACAACAATCTTTTTACCCCAATTCCAATATAAATGCCAAACTTGGTTACATAAAAAACGGTTCAGCTTCAACAAATCAAATTAAACTCTGACGAACTGCAATCCTTACAAAGCGTATGCAAATTTATCCTGAAACACATAAAAACTTTATACATTTTTTATAGATTTTGTGACACCGAAGGGGTTTTGTTATCTTTATTACATTTTCGAGAAGCCTTTTTTGTGACACCCCATAACTTTCTATCAAAAAAACTTTTTAAATGTAAAGAAATTGTCGGATTTATTTGACCATAACAATGCAAATAAATGCAAACAATATATAGGTACCTATATGCAATATATGGTAAACTGCATTTAATATTAAAAAGTGGTTTTATAAAGTATTCGGTTTCCCTTTTAAAATATTTGTTTCCACTTTTTTTTATAAAATTTCATAATACATTCTTTGGAAACAAACTTGAAAGGCAACTTTGTAATTAAAAAGGAATGCCAAAAAACAACATAACAAATATCTATTTAGTGTAATAACAGAATTTAAAATCAGGTGAATAATAAGTTGTGATTTTTTTTAAGGTCCAACCACACGGAGTCGAATGCCAGCTTCACCATGGAGGACGAGCAGCTGGACCCCACGGTGGTGGAGACGTACATGGGCGAGTGGAAGAAGGACAAGCGCTGTGGCCATGGAGTTGCAGAGCGCAGCGATGGACTCAAGTGAGTATATTAAATAATACAATTAAATTAAATAAAGTTAATAAATTATATTCAATAAGGTACGAGGGCGAGTGGTACAACAACCGGAAGCACGGCTACGGAGTGACAACATTTCGTGACGGGACCTCCGAGGAGGGCAAGTACAAGAACAACATCCTGATCACCAGCCAGAAGAAGAAGCATTTGTTCCTGGCGCGTTCGCGCAAAATCCGCGATCGCATTGCGGCCGCCTTGAATGCGGCGCAGCGCGCCTTAAAAATGGCCATGCAGCGATCGGATATGGCCATATCCCGAATGGCCACCGCGGCGGCAAAGGCCCAGAATGCAGATGCTGCAGCGGAACAGGCTCGAATGGATTGCGAGAATGCAGTAAGGATGGCCAGAGAATTTGCCCCAGACTTCAAACCCTCTGTGCTGGAGCGCTTTGAGAAGTTGCGTTTCCGCGAGCGGGAACGATTCCGTCCGGGAACAGCGGCCACCTCCGATGCCGCCCTCAAAATGGGCGTGGGCATGCAGCAACAACACACACAACAACAGCAACAGGGGGTCAGTTTTCGCCCACGAGCAGCAGCGGTTCGGATGCATATGCCACGCAGGCCCAGCGACAGCAGCAATATCTGAACATGCAGCAGCAACAGCAGCAGCAGCGTCGCATGTCGCAGCAGAACAAGGAGTCCGAGTGCCCCGTTCCGCCGTCGATGTACTCGCAACAGTTGCCCGTGTCGCCGCAAACGGACCTCTCCGGAATGGTCAGCCAGGGGCAGCCGAGCCACGCCCAGGTGATCAGCGCCATCAATCAGATGTACCACCAGCAGCAGCACCAGCAGCAACAGCAGCAGCAACAGCAGCAGCAGCAGCAGCACTTGGGCCAGCAGCAACAGAGCAATCCGCAAATGAATCCTGCATATCAGTTCCAGCAACAACAGCCGCCCGGCCAAACCAAAATGAATGCCAACTTGAATACGAACCTCAAGCAGAACCAGGCAACGAATCAGAATCAGACACAATTGCCCTTTGGCGCCGGCACCAATCAGCCGACGTCGCAGCAACAACAGCAACAGCAGCATCAGCAGCAACTCCTGCAGCAGCAGCAGCAACTCCAGCAGCAGCAGCAACAACAGCAGCAGCAACTGCTGCAGCAACAGCAGCAACAACAGCAACTGTTGCAACAGCAGCAACTGCTGCAGCAGCAGCAACTCCAGCAGCAACCTTCGCTGCACGCCTCGCCCTCGCACAATGCCGCCAATCTGTTGCGCCGCGCCTCGCAGATGCAACAGCAGCAGCTGCAGGAGGCAGCCAGTGCCGCAGCAATGGCCGCCAATGCCGCCGCCATGGCCGCCGTGCAACAGCAGCAGCGCAGCGGCCGACCGCCGATGTTGGGCCAAATGGGACAGCAGTCCTCGATCGATCACTTCGATCACTACAAGAGGCCGCCGAGTCGCGATTCCTCCATCGATCGATATGCTCGAGCGGCCAGTCGGTTGAGCGGTACCTTCGCCGGTTCACGGCAAACATCTCTGGATCGCTCTGGACTCGCAGATCCGCTGACCAATGGAGGCAGCGGAGGAGCAGGCGGTACCAGTACCCCCGATGGTCGCCAGCGAGCGGGTTCAGTATTCCGCGGATCGACGCCGCAACCCGGCGGCGGCGGAGCAACGGGACCGCTGACCGGCAACGGATCGCTGCCCTCGGGAACGGGAGCGGCAAGCGGAGGCGGACGTCTCTCGCGAGCGGGAACCCCCAGCTTGGGAGTGGGCGGAAGGGCGCCCAGCCAGGGAAAGGGTGAGCCGCTCTTCTCGTCGCCCAATCAGCCCTTCGAGGACGTCCTGCTGCGCCAGCGGACGCTCGGCCAGGACATCATTCCCTCGCCCTTGCAGCCGAAGCGCACGGAGAGCCTCTATCTGCCGGCCAAGCCGGCCACCCCGGTGGGCATGGCCATGGGCGGCAAGGGGGGCGGTGGCGGAGGCGGTGGCGGAGGCAAGAAAATGAAGGTGAGTCGACAATAAAAAAAAATATATATATTACCTATCTATTAAAAAAACGAGGTTTTTAAAGGTGAAAGATTATTTCCAAAATGATTTCTTAGACACTCCTTAAAAAATAAGAATAGTTTTAGGAGGTTAAAGTTGTTAGAGAAACGATGCTTATTATTACTGCAAAACATTCTAAAGTCAATTTTTTCCAAATTTTCAGTTTTAATTTAAAATATATTTATTTATAAAGAACTAAAATGAAAAAGTGACGAAATTTGATTGTTTAAAGTACGAAGTTTAAAATTACTGGTGTACAATTTTTTAAGTTTTATTTATCTTTTGTTAATAGTAATATCCGGTTTATATATACGATTAAGCAAACCTGTTTTTAGATCTTTTTCAAAAGAAAATAAGATTTATGAAAGTTTTGACAGAACCAAAGCTATACAAACTATTTCGCTAAGGGTTATCATAGCTAAGTTATTATTTACTACAAATTCAGTCAGGATCTGTAGAATTCCCGGGCCGCTCGTCTGAGACATTTCATAACACAGTTAATCCGCGGCAATTAACTTAATTCGTGCGCCATCCGTCTTTCGTCTTTTGTGAGGGGGAGAAATACTTTCTGGTGACAGTGGGAGATGGTGAGCTGTGGATCTGTGGATCTGGTGAGCCGATGAGAGCCGGATCGGAGCGAAACGGCCGGAGACATTTTCAGTGTTCATTTTGAAACACACAGCATTTCTCGGCCATCTCGGGGCGAACATGTGCCCATTCTGGACTATTTATAGCCGCGTTCACGAATGCACGCCAGCCGGATCAGACGGATCAGCCAGCCAGCCAAGTTGGCCGAATTGGAATGCATGCGTGCCGCTGAATCTCTCGGGAGATCCACAGTATAGCTCACTCTCGAGAACGCTCTACGGCGGAATCGCTCTCCGGCGGAATGAACGCTCCACAAGTGGCCGTTGGAAGGCCGGCGACACGCCAATAAATAAATCCTCTCGGGAAGTGTCGCGCTCGGTTTTTCCTCACCATTTTTTTGTTGTTGTTGAGATTTTTGTGGCCCCCGGTGGCGACGATTCTTTCTGAGATTCGATTTTGGGTAGTAGCAAACGACGCGTCGACCCCAACGGATTACTAATTCGATTCCGAGAAAACCCCTCTGCGAGTGGCAATATAATTATATATATATGCATATGTGAACGATTCAAAACAAGCAAAAGCATCGAGGAATTTTGAAAAGCAATTTTGTGCGAAGAGTCAGCGACAATATCCGTTGTTGTTTTGGCTCAGTGCCGTCGTCGTGGCGGGTTGTTCGACTATTTTTGGCTCCCCAAACAGATACGGATAGGGAGACCGAAGGGGGAGACTCTCCGCATTTGTAGATCACCACTCGGTGTTCAGTAAAGCGACGGAACGCCATGTCCAACTCGTTTACAAGTTGGAATCGCCTGTAGCCGAAAGATTACACAAATTTCTTAGCCTTATGCAAGCGGTTCTTTGCCTGCAACTGCAGAACTTTTTCCTGTACCAACAAAATAAGTAAACCCTAGAGGACAATGGACTGGTATCCGGAGGAGGATGAGGAGGACCTTATGTTCTCGCCGGCTTTGTTGGCCAGAAGAGCCAGCGAAAGCTGGATTGTTGAGCCGCCCGTGGAGGTGGAATATCTACATTAAAATTCGTTGAAATAAACTCTGAATTATTTGTAAAACATTATTTCCAGTCGGTGCCCATCAATGTGACGCTGCAGCGGAAAAAGTCGATGCCGGATTTCCAGGAGCTGCCGCGTGCCACGGAGGCCATGAGCCGGGAGGAGGTGTCCGCCTTGGGCTCCGCTCGCCGGGAGGCAGTGCGTCGCCAAATTGAGGTCAACGAGCGCCTCAAGGCCAATCCCTTGCTGTATTTGGTCAGTCCACAGGTTAAGGTGAGTGACACAACACCGATACACGACCATATCATATAGTATTTAGTTTGGCTTGGCCAAATGGTTTTTTTTCCGTCGGAATTGCTTTACAATTGCTGCACTTAACTTGAACCACCTTTATGTCGGCAAATCTGTGGCATATAGTATTTCGGCGCTAATGGGGCATTCGGCCATAGTTTATGGGGTTTTTAACTTTGGCAAATACAATTAATTAGCGTTTCATTTGAAGGTTGAATCACGATTCATATCATAAATAAAATTATAAGGTCTTTTGTCCATTTTGTGTTCGGAGAATGTATTCATGAGTCATTCATATTTTAATCATATTTGGTTGATCGGTTTTAATTTGCATAAACAACTTAAAAGTAAAATAATTGAACAAAACAAAAAATACTATTATATCATATTTAATCAATATAACAAAACAATTTCAAAAAGAGTATATAATTTTATGAAATTACAAGTTTGTTGCTTTTTAGGTCATGATTATGCATACTATTTAAGTCTGAAAGAAAAGTTGTGGTTAAAACAAAAAATTTAAAATTTTTAGTTTTGTCAGCTTTTTCTTTCTTATTAATTAATATATTAATTGCTTTTTGAAATTTTAATCTTAAATATTTTTGTTTAAGATTTTAACTATTTAAGGCTACTATGTATCCATAAAACTGTTTCTCGTTAATTACGCTAGGTTAAGTTCAGAAGGCACTGAACAGATTCCAGTGAATAAATAAATTAAAAAAAAAAAAAAAATGAACTTAAAATTTTTAACCACTTCTTTGAAACTATTATACAAAACATTTTTAGAAATCGGGGATCTTTTTTTAAAATTTTCTTTTATACATACTTACAAAAATTGTATTATTCTTAAAATTTTTTTTTATACATTAAAATCGTTATTAATTCGTGTAATTTTCCCTGCAGGACTGGTTTGTGCGACAGCAGCTGATGCTGCTCGTCCTGATTTTCAACGTCGCGCTGGCGCTGCTGTTCGTGTACATGCTCACCTAGCGGCGAAGGATGCACAGGACGACGCGGGACAGGGGCGATTCGGGATTCGGGTTGGGCGATTCGGGCCAGCGGCTGGCTTTGAGCCATCGAGGTTTTGGCCACCACCGATAGTCCGCGATTCGCCGTTTCGTGGACATTGTGCCACAAAAAGTGACGATGGGTGCATCGGGGTGAGATGAGAGCTAATAGGTTTTTAGCATTTGCAGTAAACAGTTTATAAAGGAAGTTAAGTATCTAAAGTACCATTAATGTATATCATATGTATAACATGAGGAAAAAAACACGCTAATGATGGGAAAAGGAAATCGAAATAAAAGTCTAGACTGCAGCCAAATAATGGATAATTAAATTAACTCATAGCGCAGAACTGCAATGCACAAATCGTAGCAAACTAATTACTTAAACCGCGTGGCTGTGCAGCCAATCATTTAATTTGTCGAGCCAATTAAACTTTGTATTTGTGGCTAACCAGGAGAGCTGGAGAGGAGACCGAATAACTATATGCAAATCAATTTAACGAATTTTTCTACACATTTAATGTAAAGGTAAAGGCAACAAAAACAAAAAACAAAACAAAACAAAACAAACAAACAACCAAACAAACAAAACACCCTAACCTAATCAATGTTTAATCATGATTAATAAACGCGTAATTTACTTAAACTCTGGCTACTTAATGTAATACATAATACAAATGCAAAACTAGTCAAATGCAAGGCAACCAAAAATAAAACATAAAAACCAAGAAACTTTTCCTATTTGCAATTGAAAATGCATTAGTCAGCAACTTAATCAAAAGAAAAGGCAACCGAATAATACAAGTACTCATATTTATATATATATTAAAAGTGTAACGATGTGACACCTATATTTGTATAATTAGCAAAATTTTGTGGGACCGAAAACAGAAAAAACAACAAAAGGAGCAACTACAAGATACAGATAGATATCAAGTATCTCGAGCTCGAGTTTTTGGTTAACCAGTTGAACATTTTCGAAACTAAATTAAATTCGAGAAGGTTGAAGCGGATTTACGGAATCTGGAAAAATTATATACTTTAAAGCAAACGGATCGAGATTGTTAATGAGCGAAGCTGTATATATACATTTTAAAATATCGTATAACTATAATTATTTTCTTCTCGATAATTTACGTTTAAATTCATAGCTGGGACGACGTCATTATTTCAAAGTGTTGCAATTTATTGTTTTTAGTTTCACTTCATTTACGATGTACGAATATGTTCTAAATATTATTATTTAATTTTTTATTTGTTATTTTATATGCATACATTATTGAAAATAAATAAAACCGCACATTCGCATCTTTGCAAGTGTACTCTGCAATTTGTTCTTATTACTCCATTCGTTAAATATATAAACTATCAAGTGCAATTATAGTGAACTATTAAACTTACCGCTTTCTTCGGCTAATTGGTGTGTACCAATAGAGGGTGAATAGCATTATCTGAATACGATATTCTTTCGAGACCATTTCGTTTGATATATGAACAAGATAAAGATAGATCGATCGGTCAAATGTAGTAGCTTACAAAATGAAAGACTTGAACTGAAAATCGTTGGCTGGTGCGTGAGAAAACAAAAACTTTACATGAAAACGATTTGGATTCGCCTTGATCAACAGATATACTCGTATGTGCGCTGTTTGAAAATATTCATAATGCATACACCTATATATTTGCATACAAAAATTAATAAATCTAATTTGTGTATATATCCATGTTTATCAGATTGGCAGGCATAACTGAGAAACAAGCTGGCAAGCAACGTAAGATGAAATCTTATTCAATGTTATCAACAACAGAAAGTATATCAAAAATGAATGCAAATGCAGAAAACTTTTTAAGTACCTATAATAAAATGCGTCAAAGCCGAAAAATAAAATGTTGTTTATTTATTTGCTGTTGATTACAAGTGAAGAAGGGTAAACAAAGGTGGGAATTTACTTATTGGAAAAATAAATACAAGTGATCAATAATAAAATACAACCGAGTATTCAGAGGGTGTGTTTAAACTTGTAAACATATTTTATGATATTCCGATACTTTTTACCAAAAAACTAACTTTCTATTTTATTTATGGCAAATAAAAGATTTCTAAAAAATATTTTATCAAAATCTATTATTTAATTCCAATATACTAGCCAGATTTGTAGAGATGTTTTACCTTAATCAAATAATTTGTGAACCATCGCGATGCATCGCCTTCAAGAGAGCCCAAAAGTATGCTATATTTTTCCCATTTCTGTAATAATTAAATTCAACACTTAACATATTTAAATAATTTAATCATCATTAAGTCAACAGGAATGGAGACCGTTAACAAATAAATAAGAGGACACCTAGAAAACATTTCTAGCCTAGAAGTACGCCTAAACCTAACAACAAAGAGCGTGGAGCTCAGTAGTCCGCGTATCCCCTTCCCTGGTTGCCGTAACCAAAGTCCTTCAGGTAGTTATCGATGGCCAGATCGAAGGTGGAAGATGGCTTGTCAGGACCCGATTCGGGAGCACCATATGGCTTCACCTCTGGCTGAGGTTGTGGCACAGGACTCGGCTGATAGGACTCGGTTTGGCTGGGATACGATTCCGTGATGCTGGGATAGGAATCCTTGGGGTACGATTCCGTGACACTCGGATAAATGGGAGTGATGCTGGGATACGCTTCCGTTTGGCTCTGGACAACGGGATAGGCTTCTGTCTGGGGTGCCGAGTATGCCTTGACCTCCTCAACAATCGGAGATGGTGTGGCCACCACAATCTTCTCCTCATAAGGAGTCTTTATCTTGGCCACCGAAAGTCCCGAAGATGAAGATGCAACCGCTGAAGCGGCATACTTAATGTTGGCCGAGAGTTTGGGTGCGGGTGGCACTTTGCTGACGAGGGGAACCACCTGCTTGGAGTAAACCGGAACGGGGGAGTAGTAAACGGAGGGCGTGGCCACAGGAGCTGGCTGCAGTTGGATGGCAGGACGTGGCGGAGGTGGCACACTGGCGGGATAAGTCTTCTTGCCGCCATAAGCGGAGCTCAGAAGTTGCGCCAGTTCTTCGAGAGTGTAATTCGGAGCAGCTATGTTGGCCACCGCTGGCGAGGAAGCCACCGCGGAAGCCGGTGAAGCAGCAGCAGCTGCCTGTTCGTAGACCAAAGGATAGGGTTTGTAGGACTTAGGACCATTCACCGGTCCCACCAATCCCCCATAGGAACCAGCATCACCTCCGTATTTGGGGAAGTACTTCCGCTGGTGGACGTGGGTGAACTCCACCTGGCCACCAGGTGCAGATTCTCCGATGGACGAGATCTGGGTGAGGGGCTGCTTGGGTTCCGAGGTGGCCACCTTGCGGCAGAACTCCTTGCAGCCCAACTTGCATTCGCAGTAGCATTTTTTGTAAGGAGATGGTGGAATGGGACTGTCCGTTGGAGGTGGTGGTGGTGCAATCGTACTGCTTGGATACGCCGGTTCAGTGGTGCTGTAAACTAGAGTGGTTGGTGGTCTTGCAGTGGTTTCCCCACTGGGTGGTGGTGGTGGTGCCACTGTGGTGGGCACTTCACTACACGGCACCTGTTCCCACACCTCCTGCTCGCATTCTGCACAGTATTCCGGAAAATGTGCTTGGGTCAAAAAAGACGATGTCATTATTATGACCATAAACAATAAACTGCAACGTTCGAACATCTGAAAGGGGAAAAAAGTGAGTTTAAATAAAGGTCATAAAACCATTTGCAATCGCTCCCAATCGATTGGCCCACTTTCTTACCTTCTCCACTGAATTTCTCCCTCGATAGCGATCACTTTCCCTACAATTGGTGGAAATTCTTTCCCGGATCGCCGATCGGATGGCACTTGTTGACTTGTTGGCTGTTCGTCGGTCGCGTGCGAAACTCTTTTATGCAATTTGCTGAATAGCTCTTAAATACGCTGCGCTGGCCGAGAGCTTCTTCTGCTTCTTCTCGTTCTACCTCTTCTACTTCAACCATAACACTTACAACGGCGAACAAATGGGTCGCGGAAGCGTTGACCGCATCACGTTCCAAATGGTTCAGATCAGATCGTCGCCCGTCGCGGGGCATGGTGCTCCGGAGCGGTGCGGAATGGTACGGAATGGTCCCACAATCACCAGATTCCGTAGCTTCCGTAATACACATTCAAGCATTTCTTCCCGCACTCGTCGATAGCATCAAGTGCTTGACAACAGTTGTTCGATCTTAAACACGGCCAGCAAACATATCTTTTCATGACCTCTGGTTCTTGGATTAATGGCATTCACCTTTTAGATTCGATCGGAAGAACACCTACATAACTTCAAGACAAGTGTAAACAAAATGTATTTTTGTAATCTTATCTAAACATTAAAAAAAAAATATTAAAACTAAATAATGCATATTCATAATTGAAACAGGAATTTTGTTCTTTAAATCCTTATGTTTTCTATTTTCCTATAGCCCATTTATATAAATAAATTTTGAGCAGTGCCCATTCTGCACTCGCCGAAGGTTTTTTTGGCTCTGACCAACTTTTGCCAACAGTTTGGGGATTTATAATTTCTGGGTCTTGCCCCAGATCCGATAATATTGTCTGTGGTCGATTAACTTATCAATTTTCGGTTGTAATTTCGTGGGTACACGTACGCTTCGGATAAGTGAAAGATAAATCACCTCTTTACAACTTTACTGACTATAAAGAAAAATATTTATATTAAAAAACAATACAAAAATTATTTTACTTGTCAAAAATATAAAGACTGATTTTTTCTCAAAGAATAATGCTTACAGAATTTTTATTGGTAAACTACCAAATTACAAAATTAAATTAAATTAAATTTAAATTTAATTTTACCATATAACACAAGAAATAATAATCCAGTCATTTTAGCCAGTTCAATAATAAGCCATCTCTAAAATAAAATGCACTTTTTGTCTTCCCCAAACTTTACAAACTAACATTCACTTTTTTTTAATTTTTTCTTTTCACAAGTTAAAAATTGTAATATTCACATTTTGTTAAAATTTAATTCTATGGTAACCAATTTTTTTTAACATAATTAATTAAACCAACCATACAACATAATTCAATCAAATCTTAACATTACATTAAAACAGAACAACACAATTTTCGGAGACCGTGGATTTATTTATGATCAATTAAGATTGGCCACACGACTTTGGAATGGTCTGGCTCCAGGATAAACCTGAATATTCGGGAGAAGACTTAGTTCACTGGCTGCATCCGATTCCAATCCTGCATTTTGATAACTTTTCCTTAAAAGAGAGCTGCGCTTCTTCAGTTTCTCCCAGCGTTTAAGTCCAAGTAGATGCCTTGATTTAGCAACCTCACTGTTTTGAGTACTTTTTTGCGTTAAAGGTTTCCATTGTTTGGGAGGATCTGGAACTTTAACCGGACTGCCGGCTGTTTCCATATCGATGGTATGCGATCCACTTTGAGCACTTGTCAATCGTTTCAACATTTCCTGATAATGTGGTTGATCGGCAGTAATATATTCCGGTTCGTCTTCGGGATTCAGGATTTGGTAATTGGGAGTTCCCAATTCGAAGGTGGTAAATTCCCCATGTTCCACTTTGTTCTTCAGATGTTGGGCTGTATATCCATATTGCTTAAGAGGGGCCATCCACTTGGCATCCGGATCGGTATCCTTTGATCCTCCCAAGCAAAAGCAGAGAGCCAACAGCAATGTGGCTAATAGTTTCCGTGTGTCTAGTGAGCTGGCCATTTTCGCACTGATGCTCCATTGATCTTTTTCCAGAGCGTTAGCCAAAAGCCAATAGAATCGCCATCGGCGACGTCGACTGAGCCGGTAATTGGACGCCCTCATGCGGCAGAAGGTACGTGAGATTAGAGGCATCTCTGTGGCAATGTCGCGTCTGCTGGCGATAGCATTAGTTTCTGCTTATCGAAAATTCGTTGCCACCTGGGCGATGACACATCTTTTAGTGAGACATTACTCGAAGAACTAAATGCGAAGTGCCAATTTTACTAAGCCAGACTTAAATAAAGATAAGCCAAGTTAAGCATTTCCCAGTCATTCATGACTTTTTCTACTTTTTTAATGTCTTCCACTTTTTTACTTTGTTTGTGAAGAGATAGGGCTGAAAAAATGAATAATCTTTGCTACGCAGACGGTTTTTATTCTTAACTACAATTTGTATTGTTTCACCAAAAAAAAAAAAAAAAAAAAAATAAGAAGATTAAAGTTGATACAAAAAAAATTAAGCTTAAGTCTTTTGAGAAATATCAATCGCACAATAATAAATATCTAACTTCTAGGAAACATTTATAATTACTAAGCTAAACCTAATAATAGAAGTGTTATTTTACTAAAATAATTCTAATAACATATATTTTTGGAGAGGGCTTGTATCATTAAAATTTAAAAAAATGGACCAAAAAATAAACAAAATTTCTAATGATGCAGTTTGTTATAGAAATAAAATACAAACATTCAGAGGTAACAATTCTGATAACAATTAGAAACTTAGAACTTTCAGCAAACGCATTTTTCGGGTTGCATCATAAAAATTAAAAAAAAATAGCCAAAAAAGTATTTTGACTACAGCCTGCCAAAAATGCTATAAACATGGATTGTCATACCTTGTTGAATTTTTAATTTAATTTTAAATTAAATGGCGTTCACTGAAAAAAAAAACCTTCGGAAACTCATGTCCTGCCCACAAGTCTCTTTTCCCATAAAAAAATTTCGTTTTTTTTGTGTTCCTCTGCGAACAGTTTGAATGTGATGCATCTTTATGTTACATATGAATGTCTGCTGTTTGTATGCACAATTAATGGCTTACTATAAGTTATTTATGATATATGGCAGTGAAGCTTTCCCGGGTCGAAACGGGGATCCCAATGAGTTTGTGATGCTGAAGTCAGAATTAAGATCCCTTTAGTACTTGTACTGAGCAGTGGGTCCGGAAACGGAGACATAGTTTCCGGAGGACAACTCCTGCTTGATGATGGCTTTGGGGGCAGCGTAGTGAACCAGAGGAGCCACCGGCAGCACAGGAGTCAGGATCTTGGCGGCGAGGAGTTTCTTGGGAGGCTCAGGCAGTGGAATCTTTATATCCGTGGGTTCCCGCTGGACAATTGCCTCGAAACCGTTGTGATCATCCGCCTTGTACTGAACAATTCGACGATAGCCATCGGAATCTATAAGTTCATAAACTCCCTCGACTTTATCGTCCTTCCGCGTCTCCTTTTGGCTTTTGATATCCCCGGTGTGAGGATCGTTCACCGACCACTGGAACTCATAGGCAACTGGTCCATAGTCCGGCTCCGGCTGCAATTCAATGGCCCAAACGGCGCCAATCAAACACAGGCACAGCAGATAGGTGGCCTAAAAAGGATCAATCAATAATTATAATCCAGAAAAAAAAAGGACTCCTTGCTCCACTCACTTTTCCCATTATTTTGGTTTTGTTTTGCGTTTGGTTTCTCAGAACTCTTTGGGTATATTGAAATGCACTCGACGAAGATCGGAATCGAAGTAATTAATCTGGGTAGTCCTAGGCTGCTTATATACGAGCACACTCCACACTCATTACCGGAGTGGACCAGAGCAGAGTTTTCGATCAGACTCCAAGATTTGGCAATCCACCCAAAGTGTCGTGTCGGTTTTTCGGCACGCGCCTCCCAAACAAGATCGCCGCCACAAGTGGAGTGCGCTCATTAAGTGAGCCCCGAAAAAATTATAATTAAACACGAAATATGCAAAGAGTGGTTCGCACTAGCCACTAGGCAATAAGTTCACACAGAGAAAAATATTTGAATATTAGAATCAGGATAAATTCCTGATTTCAGTTTGGAAAAAGATCATCATTCATGTAAGATAACTTTTAACTTGGTTGACAATTCCTTTAAACTTTAAAAATACTATTTTAAAATACAACTCTTAATCTCTTAATTAACAGTCTCTTATACCTGTTTTACACACTTATTATTCCTATAACTCAGACCCTTGATAAATAAATGCGTAAACTTACGTTTAAGTCTAAATTTATTGCATTGAGGAGAGTTTGATTGAAAATTGATAAGGTTTACAAAGCTAAATATATAAAATCGTTGCATTATATTTTATAATTATATAAGTATGAACTATTTAAACCATTATTTAAACAATATTAAATATAATAAATTGAAGATGTTTTACCCAAATCTAGTTGAATCCCTTGACCTTATTATTTTTAATTATTTTTATAAATACTTGAAGGTTGAAATATTATTCCTCACTGCATATTACGATAAGTATCCAACTGAATATGCCGCAAGTGGGAGAGCTTAGTGATCTTAGAGGTGTCGCGCTAGTCTGTCTGGTCCGACCAACAAATGTGCAGATTAATTTACTTTGTCAATAATTTGCAACATTAGGCATTGGGCAACAAGGCCTCCGGCTGCATTAAGTCATAAAAATAATTGTGCTGTTTTAATGGATAGCTCGCCAATTGAGATAGTAGATGGAAATGGGGGGCGTGTGTTGGGGGTTGGAACCTTCATGGATCGGAGGCCAAATCCTTTGAGCGATATGGCCACAACCCGTTTGATGCCATTAACAAATATTTTAATTAATCGCCATTAGACGAGTTTCTTTTTGGCGTTGAGCCCGAAAAACCAGGTTACTCTATCTCAAAAGTTTTGATTTGAGGCAGCCGCAAAGCGTGTTTCTTCGAACCTTAAAAGCAATCTGTGGTATGTGCACTTGTTAGGCGGAGCTGGCTGTAAATCTGGGTTAGTTAGTCGGACCAACTAGACCGCCAGCGGGGTTCTTCGATTTGGTATGTGCGTAAGTCTGGTGATCAATTTCATCAGCTTGAGTTTGGGTGCTTTTCTCTATGATCTATGGGTTGTCATTTTATTTCAGAGTGGTTTTGGGTTTGATATATGGTATATGACCTGTTATTATACTAATCAGCAGCTTCACTTTCTTTCTCCAACTTGGCGCGTATTGTTCTTTGGCAGCGAGATCTTAGAAGTTCTCTTCTCAAGGCGTTGCTCTCGGTTTCAACCGTTTGTATAAGCTTAAAATGAGTATAGTTGTATATTAATCAGGATTATTAAGATATATACTTACACTATGGGTTAAAGCAGCTCTTTCCATAGTTTCTGCATCGGCATCATCATCTTTTGGTCCTTCTTCGCTACTTGAAGAAGACCGACGAGCGAGCCTTGCTTTACTATGAGCTCCAGGAAAGTCCTCCTCATATTTTGGTGGAGGATCATCATCATCTGGAACTGAAGCTGCCAAACTGGTAGCTCCTTCTTCTGTTTTAATCTTTAGAGCAGCCAACTCATCCCGCAAACTTTGGTTTTGCATTTCCAATAAATCCACCTTTTAATGAAAAATGTATATCAAATGTTTCCCTACTTTTTCGAAGTCTTACGCTTTCCAATTCAAAATCCATTTCATCAATAATGTCGTATGACTCATCTAAGGCTCTTTGTAGCTTCTCTACTTTGGCCTTTAATTCTTGCAATTCATTGAGATCGCCTTGGGCCGATTGTCGCTTTTCGATCATCATTTTTTGCTCTGATGGGAATATTAATTAGAATTTTATTGGGGAAAAACACTTCAAAATCCCACCTGCATTTCGTTGATCAAGAGCTGATTTCATTACCAATCCTGTTAGTGTTTTCTGTCGCTTAAACATCTCCTCCAAAGCCCTACAACGTTTTACCTTCTCCAAATAGGCATCATGCAGTTTGTTATACTTTTTCTTATGTTTCTGTAAAGTTTCCACCAGACGATCGCGCTCCTCCTCCAATTGAAAAGCCAGGATTTTGGCCTCCACATTAATTGCTGCATTTGTACTGTGATTAGCTGATGCGCGATTTAGGCGATGGCGCAGCAGAATGTTCTCTTCCTCCAGCTGGGCACTTCGAGCCTTTGCTATAAGAAATGGTTACTACATTGGGTATACGCAACAATATTGCTCATACGCACCGGCTGCCAGTTCTGCATAGAGAACCTGCATAGTGGATGTGGAACGCTTTTCCATCTCTTTACTTTCTTTTTATAATCTCAACTTGTAAGTGTAAAAATTACTCAGCGACTGGGAAACCTTTTGTTGCTGAAAACACTAAAGATAAGCTATCAGCCGCGTTGGTTTGTATTGTTATCGCTGCCAGAGTTACCTGGCTAACATCTGATGTATTATTCGATTACCCAAGTAATAAATAAAAAGAGCTACTTGCTATTTTGCAATATTTAACAACTTATATTTTCACAAACTGGTTTTAGTATACTTTTACCAAAATGTTTTTTGATTGATTTTTATTGAACAATTTTAAAATAATATAAAAAAAATTTAAGTTACACTTTTATTAAACATAGATAACATTTTAAAATTTTATTAATTATAAAAAAATGTGCTAAAATTCAATGCCAACGCTTTACTTCTATGTAAAGTTATTCAAGTTTTTTAGGTTTGAATCTTGGCTTATGAAAACGGAAAATGGTTAGATGAAAACTGGTTGGTCACACCAATATAAAATCGAATACTTTATTAACATGTAGCGCCAAAATCAAAATAAAAAAACCAAAACCCATTTATATCTGTTACTTGTTTTCCATTTTAAAAAAAATAAACAACTTTTAGTTTGTCTATTACAGTATTTGTTTATTTTGTTTTTTCAGGAGTCTCATTGTTTCCATTTCATACATGTTCTTATTTAGTTTGTTTGCAATATTTTCTCTAAGTAAAAATATGTATTCCTTAAACGTATTTCTCGCATAAACATATATAGATATATATGATTTTTGCACCTAAGACCCACCTTATCTCTTGTGGTCTGTATTAAAATCGCTCTTCAATAATGTATAAGTTATGTTGTACAAACACATATCCCGATACGAACTCTTAGCTACGCGTAGGTACTTATTAACGTAGAATTGTATACATATATATTTATTTATAAGGATGTATCTATTTAGTGCTCGGGGAGCTTTCGGCCTCCTTCCTACTATATATATATATGTGGCTGGCTGGTGTAAACATAGAATTAGTTGGTACTAATTAACCTAGATTGCATCGCTTAATTCTACTGGGGCCTTGCACTCGGGCAGTGCGCAGGAAATCAACCGGATGAAGCGGTCGAATTCCCATTTCAGTTGAGATACTGTATTTATCCGCGTGTATATTTAATTGATATTTTGTAAGGCATTATCGCATTTAAAGTACATCATTCGGTTTTAAAATCTAGGCTAAACTTGCTCTTCTCGCTACGGTTAAAACAGGGAATTTAGGATTTCTCGTAAAACTATTCCAGATCTAATCTTCATTCGAACCCATCTATTGAATGCACAATGTGTGAAAGATTCTCTAAATAATGTATTGCATAAGAATTACATTCACCGTGTTTCCACTTCCAATCTATCCAACGTTTTCGTTAATTTTTTTTTTTGTTTGTTTTCTATACTCACACATTGTTTCACAGCACAATTTCCATTGACAATTGTTTACATGTTCGGATTATTAAAACATTGTAATTTGCTATTCGTATCTCTTCACTTCCACCAACTGGTTCTCAGTCAAATCGTCTTACGTCGAAACCGAGATTGCACAAAGTCGATTTAAGGCGAAACACATCGAGCTGTTCGAACGCCAAATCGACTCCCTTCACGGATCTACACTCCACTAAAAGTACAATACAAAATATTCCTATCACAACGATCTACGCCTACCCTAAAATATGCTAGTTGCCTACTAGGATTCCTATACTCTAGCGCCTGGTTACATAAATAATATCTGCAAGTATTCGCATTCGCATTCGTATCGGATTCGGATTCGAATTTGCATATATATCAAAAGATTTCTATTTGCAGATGCCTTCTACGAGGAAAGTAGATTTGAACACTCGGTCGTAAGTACAATGAGCAGCTGGGAGGTTGAGTCACTTCGTCGGGAAACGGGCATGGAACACACACACTCAGGACACAAGAGGCTGCTTCTTCTACTTCTGCCTCGAACCGATAATCCTTACTTAAAGCTTAAAGCCATTCCACATTCCTCTAAGCCGTGGAGCGCTCCTCCTCATCGTCATCGTTGTCGTTGATGAGCTCGTTCCGATCGTCGTCGATCTGAATCTTGTGGTGTGACGTGTTTCGCGAGTGCTGAGGATGCGGCTGCGGATGTCCCGCCAACGAGCTGGTGGGAATCGCCTCCGGCAGAATTTGGTAGTTGAGGTCCTTGGAGTTGGTGCGTCGATGCCGAAGCACACTCAAGCCCGCGGTGCTGGCATCGGATGATGATGCCAGCCCAGAACCGCTGTTCACTGGAGTGCCACTGGAAATTTTGGTGTTCAAGTCCTTCGAGTTGTTGCGCGAATGACCACGGGATCCCGCGCCGCCGGCTTCCGTTTCGTTTGAATTCTTCAGCTTGCCCATGTCCGTCACCACGTTCTTCAGCACGTTCACATTCTTCTTGGGGTTGTGATGCGGATGCGGATGCCGCAGGAAGTCCGCATCGAAGCGTATGTTGTTGGGCATGTAGATCTGGTCGTAGCTGTGGTTGCGCGAGTGCTTCTTGACGAAGTGGCCACAGCCGGTGGTCAGCTCATCGTCGTCATCCTCTTCGGCGCAATCCTGTGGCCGCAGCTGATTCTGGATATATCGAATGGGTTGGCTGTTGTCGTGCAGATCGGTCGAGTGATTACGCGTGTGCGCCTGGAACTTCTTGAGATTCTTGTATTTGCTGCTCGCACCACTCGCATCCTGACCAGCCGCATCCGCCGGTCCGCTGGACGAGTTGTGATCCCTGGCAAAGCTCTTGATCATCTTCACGTCGCACGAGGCGCTCCGGAAGTGCTTCTTCGACTTGGTCTGCGGCTGGTTGCAAGTATTCGCTGGAGTTACCACATGACCACATTTGTCGTAGCTGCAGATAAATAAATTTAATGAGCAACTATGTTATAAATTTAATAGTAAGCAAGACTCACCAGTAATCCATCTGCATGGTTCGTGAATCGTTCCGTGAATGACGCAGTATCTCTGTGGGAATGATCAGCTCTCCTGTGCCGCCAACAAATGCATTTGGCTGTTCGCCACCAGAAAGCTTCTCTTCAAACACTGCAAAATATAATAAAATATAATAAATATATTTCATAAAATAGTGGTATTATTTTTGTAAAACTTACATTTGTCTAGGCTGATAATGGAACCAATTATTGGATCGCTTGCATTCAAGGGCTTTATTTTCTCCAACTGCTTACGCCTTCGCACCAACCACCAATCAACCATAAAGATAAACAAAGCAACTAGCTTAACAGAGGCACAGAGACCAACATATCTGGAAAAACAAATAATAAAGGATCAGTAATACGTTCTACAGTGAATAAGAGTAATTTATCCTTACTTGTATCTAAACTTTTCAATATCGTAGATAAGACAGCGACCCCCCTTCTCGCCACAGGAAGATTTCCACAGCAGGCAAGTGGAGTCGATGAGGTTCCCGAACAGAATGGGAGCGGGTATGTAACCAAAAAGTCGAAAGATCACAAACTGCATGCCGAGGGCAAAGGAACGCTCCTCCTCGGAAACCGAACGCAATACGATCATCAGCAGCGGCATCTGGGTGGAGGCCACCACGAAGGTCATGAAGAAGAGCAAGATGAGGAAGGGGTAGATGGTGCGGCAGGGCGTGGCACAGGGACCGGCGGTGGCCACCGGCACCACCGTCACCTCGGCGAAGTTCTCGTTGGCACTGAGCGCCTGAGCTTGGCTTCCACCAGCGCCACTATAAATGTTGGCGTGAACACCTATAAATAAATAAATAATAAATATATATAAATGAATAATAAATAAATATAAATAAATAACAAGATTAACAAGTACATAAAACTAAGTCGGTTTTTGTGGAATACTATCGTTATTTGCTGCACCCTTAGAACTGATAAAATAATGAGTTCAGTTATATTATACGAGTATAAACAGAACATTAACAAGCAAATAATAACACGTACTACAATTAGTTACATAAATTATATAGTTTGTTAGTGTGCGTAATAAATCGGATAAGCATTATATTTAATAACAAATAAGTACTGCTTATGTTACAAAAAAATAAACCATAAAACGCACCTATTGATTATTATGATTCCCACATTTAAATATATTTCTAGCATACTTTATCGATTCCAATTAAGTTACTGATATAATATAAGTTACTGACTGAAAGTCTTACTACTCACATGCACAATTGGTGTAGTTGGAGCCGGACAGGAAGCCCGTGCAGCCGGCGTGGCAGGGACTGAAGTAGGTGAGTCCGTTGTTGCCGCACACCGGCTCCACCTCGCCGGTGAGGCACTCGCAGCCGAAGTTGCACTTGGCGGTGAGGTTCACCTGGAAGGGCTGCTCCAGCGTGGAGCCCGGCTTGTTGCTGGTGTAGTAGGGAATCGTGGTGCCCGCCATCTTCAGGTTGTCGCAGCCGAGGAAGAACAGCATCGCATAGCAGGCGAGGCAAATCACATTGGTGATCAGGACGAATTGGACGGCGCCCTTGGGCTTCAGTTGGAATCGCTTCAGGATGCAGCCGCCGAGGAAGATGCCAATGCAGGCACCAGGCACAGCGATCGATCCTGTGAAGATGTTGGCCTGACTCTTGCCCAGGCTGAACTGCGTCTCCAGGTATTTGGGCAGGAAGACCACAAATCCCGAGACGATCATCAGTTCCATGCAGGCTCCCAAGCAGGTCACAATGTACACGGGATTCTTGACCAGCCGCAGCATCGATTGCGGAATGTCCTTGATGTCCTTGCCGTAACCGGTGTCCACCTTCGGCGGCGGCTGCGATTGGTCCTCCTTGCTGGTCACGGCCACAATCTCCAGCTTCTTCACCTTGCCCATCTCATCGGTGGCCGCTGTGGCAGCGGAATTATTCGGCAGGACGGGCTGCACCACGCTGCTCTTGCGTATCTTCTTCTTCTCGCGGGCCAGGACCTTGGGGAAGGAGAAAAAGGGCACGGCCACCACCAGCAGAATGACGCCGCACAGCAGGAAGCCCCCCACCACATCCCCACCCAACGTCTGTCGCCGGGAGCTGCAATTTGAAATCAATAAGTTTAATAAAGTTCGACTGCAGCGAAAGTCTCATTAAAAATTGCTCGGAAATTTCGACATTTGTTTTGATAAACTGAAATGTTTCCTGTTCCTTAAAGTGCAGGAAATTACATTTTAGGAAATCAATTGTTTGTTTCAATTGATAATTATTTAATAGAATTATTTTTCAAAATATTGGCACTTATTTTTATTTTTATAATAATGATCAGTCGTAATAAAAAAGATTCTGGCAAAATAATAAGTGCCTTTAATTTAAGTACTATAAAAATTAAAAACAAGTTATTATAATTTAAAATAGTTATAAGTGGTCTGGGTTGTTCAGCTTAATAAAATTGTTAGCCACATAGGTAATCCCCCTTTGAACTTAAAAGGGTTATTTCCCTTATAAATAAATTTCCATTGTAAATTAGCATAGGAAACGCTCCAAATTCAATTTCAGTGCAATTTATAGTGATCTTAACTGGGGATTTTACTCACTGATCGAAATGGTGGTGGAGGACAGCGAGTCCATGTGGAAGGAGAGCAGGTAGGCGCCGAGCAGGAATCCGACGACGGGTCCGAAGGCGCCCATGCTGTACATGCAGCCGATGTACATCGACGAACTCTCCGTGCGCACGTGGTCGTCCACGTAGGTGGTTCCCAGGGTGAAGAGCGGACTGCCTCCGCAGCCCAGGAGCAGTTGAGCGAGGACGAAGAGCAGCACGGGTCCCGTGGTAGAAGCCTTTCCCTCGAGGCAATTATCCTCGCGGAGGGTGTGCGGTGCCAGCGGTTGGTTGGACAGTCCGCTGGACAGACGACCCAGATCCATGTCCTGATTCCGCACCAAGGCACTGCGGCAGATGTTGTCACTCGTCTTGTTCATGATCGCAATGCCGGGATTCGGTTCTCCAGTGAAATGCGGCACCATGAACACCAGCGACCCAATGCCCATGATCACCGCACCGATGCCAATCCAGACGGGAATGTGCCTCCTGCTCCCCAAGTAGCTCACAAAGATCACGGTGATCACGTTGCCGATCTCGTAGCTCGAAGCTATCAGACCGGAGTAGCTGGAGGGGATCTCGAAGCGCTTCTCGATCGTGGTGATCACCGAGTTGATGTAACCCGAACTGAGGGCCTGTTGCATCATCACCAGGAGCGACAGCAGGAGCACAAAGATCTTGATGCGGGCGAAGCGCTGGATGCCATAAGGCCGGCAATTGAGGATGCCACAATCGCCGGTGCGGAACTGCTCCTCGTCGAAGTCCTCCTCCGGATCCGGAGCTGGCGGACATTTGCCCGCCGACGACGCCTGTCGACTGTGGCACTTGATCGTCACGCTGTCCACGTTGGCCATCGATGCACCACTAGCGCCACCACCTGCTCCTCCACCAGCTCCTCCTCCTGCTCCTCCTCCTCCTCCTCCGCCTCCTCCGGAAGTCAACTGATCCCCGGCCAAGTGCGACCTGTGTTCCTGATCGAGGGCCGCATCTATGCTGCTGTCGTCGCCGCTATTCGTTTCCGAGTAGAGGCCAGTCATCTGGTACATCGATTCCTGCCGCCTGCAAGTGAGATTGTTTCCGTGGTCAGATCAACAAGAGGAGCGAGACAATTGGCTCTGATTCTTTGCATTTTTTAATGGGATTTTGCCATACCCTGAAAGCCAAAACTAATTCAAAACGTTCAATTTTTGACCTAATTTCCAAACATTATGTGACAAGCGAACTACTAGAAAATCTTAAATCGGTACACTTCTTTGCGAAATCTTTCAAGAACTACTAAAGCAAAAATGTATAATTTACGCATCATCCTACCTATCATTAACGTAATTCAACCAATGTTTCTATTCACCGTGTTGGGTTTCTAAAACTTTTGCATTTGTGTATTTGTGTTCTTAAAAAACAACAAGTTAATGCACACTTTTTTGTACGTCAAGTTTTAAAGGAAATAAATGAGTCTCTATGCTAAATAAATGAGTCTATATGCTAAGAAGTTAAGCAATTCAAAAGTAGTTATAAATGTGTTTAAAATTTTCAATTTACATTAGATTTAGCCTAGCAGATAATAAATTCTTCACTTTATATTTAAATAATATAAATATGTGTTGCTGCATATTTAAAACTAAATTTTCTGATGCTTCTTTATTAATAAGGGTTTTTCGAAGTGAAGGGGTTTTCATTTTGCGGTTACGTCTTTTCAATGTTACATAAAAAATGTAAACAGTTTGCTTTGGCCAGGGTATTTGAAAGTGTCAACCTTGCTCCTTCATTCGCTGCCTTTTTTGTCAGCCTGTCTAGAGGCGGCCTAGAACTTGGCGATGGACGACGGTCCAAGGACGCTAGGACGCCCGAGGGCGAGGCCGCTTGGCCTATTCAATGTCAAGCTCTTTGGGCTTTGGGCCAACCGAAAGAATTACCCCATCCTGCAGGCCAAATTCAAAGGCTTCTTCCCCACCTCGCAACTCACTTGACTTTGGCAGCTGCAACCACACAACTTCTTGGGCCCTTTTTTTGGATTGGTTTTGGTATTTTGTCGTAGGACTTGAGGACTTCCCGTTCCGGAGTTCCTTCGACGTTCCTTCGACTGGCAGTGCACGCGGATGACTGCGGCGTTAGCTGGCGAATCGAGCTGGCGAATCGCGAGGCGGCGAGCCTTTGAAGCTCACGTGCTCACCCTGGACTTGTTTGTCACGCTTCCCTTTCCTTTCCTCTTTCCTTTTTTCCGGCTCTCGGTTTTCCGGGCCTTTGAATATTTCAAACTTGACCGACTCATCGTAATCGACTGCTATCGATTCGGCGGCGGCGGTGAAGGCGCTGCAGTCTTATGAATTATTAAGCCGCCATCGAACTCACCCACGTGCCGCTAAACGTGCCCCGAAGTTCGGTGTTTCCCCCCCCAACTAGAAGCTAATTATTATTGATATGGGGTGGCAAACTGTATCGGCAAATAATATTCTGTTTGTTTGGCCAAGGCAAGTGTCAATTTAGGTAAATAGTATTTTTCCTTTTTCTTTTAGGAAATAATATAAAACAGGGAAGCAAAGAAAGTGGAAAACTGGCAATTGGCAACTGGCGACTGCAGCGATTTCCTCACCTGTGACCTTTGCGATTTGCCGTGCCGGCATCGTTGGCATTGTTGATATTGCTGCCCCCGACTGCTGCTCCCACATCTGCCACGCCCCCAGGGGGAGGCGGTGGGTCGGACTCCTGCTCAAAGGATGGATTCGTATACTGTTCGATGTGCTTGGCCGACATAATGTAGCATTTAACCAACTGGCGTTCACTCGGTTAGGTCAATCGATCAGCTTTGAGGCATATCCTAGAAAAAACGAGAAGGGAAATGGCTTAGTTTTGGAGTTGACTTTCAGGGTTCAGAGGTTGCACCACGGAACTGTCATTAGGGATTTTCACACACACATAAACACACACCCACACACACTTATATAATCCCCCATGGGGAGCACAAGTCGACAGTTGATGACGTCGACAATTACTTCCTGAAAGGCTCGCCCCATTGCCACACTAATTGAGCCCAAACAGCAGAGTCGCTGCAACATGCCACCGAGATGGAGCGAGAAAATAAAGGGGAGAAGATAATTACGAGGGGCGGTAAGATGGCCACCCACCCTACCCCCACTTTTCCCCACAACATTCATCCACTGGCCCAGACTTCCGTTGAATGAGAAGGATGCTCGCTGACGCCGTCTTCTATAAAAAGCTTCTTCCACACTCAGACACTCGTGCATGTGAGGATGGCGGAGGACGGCGGAGGATGCCCTTATTCGGGATGCAATCGTGACACAATCCGGACTTTTAAAGCCCCAGGAAATGTGGGTAAGGCCAAAGGATCAGGTTCTACTTTTTCTCAGAAAACTCCATTTCAACATTAAAGTTTATATAATATCTTTACGGGATAGAGTTTATAAACCATGCAGAAACATCATTATACAATTTATATGGGTTTGCATGGTATTTAATATTTAACATTTACTACCAAAGAAAATCACTTTAACAATACATTGCTTTTCAAAGTCTAAGACTAAAAATCGATCTACACTCTTAATTTTAAAAGTGGATAAAAATCATTTGACAACTTAAGATCTAAAATCCATATTCTTGCTAGTCTTAAAAAAAAAAGGTATAGAAATTTTAGAAAAATTTATAAAATTTATAGAAACAAAAATCTCTCATAACCTTTTATTTATCATGAAAACATGAAACTTAAACCGGAAGTGAAAGGACTGTTATTCTTTTTCGTTTCACGATGTATACCATCCCTTAACAGTTTTATATTTTTTTACCCGATTTATTACCCATTCCCCGCATTCTTAGATAAGCGCGTGACAAGACCACACAACCTTCCCTCTCGAGGAAAGGGCTAATGAAACTGCTATTCCCTCGTCAAGATACAAAAAAGATTCCAATGGCATCGCCATCGTCATCGTCATTGGCATCGCAACAACCATCAGGGTGAGAGCTAACAGTTGCTCACTTCGCCCACCGATTTTCCTTTCATTAATATGCGACGCTGCCAAAGACCAGCAGCTATATCAACAATATATTACAACAATGGAGGCGACGCCACTTGAACACGCCTTCTCCTCCACGCACGCATCAAAAAAAAAAAAAAAAAAAAATCCGAGGGGGCAAAGAAAAAGCCCCATTTTATTGATTGCCTTGAGGGGGAGGCTCAAAAGAAATATGAATATCAGCAGAAAGCAAATGCTGCCACCGCTTTTCCATATCCTTCAATGTAAGCCTGCCCCCCACAATCTTCAAGCTGGGAACCCGGGCAAATGGCAACTAATTGAGGATTTACTTGGGGGCTTACCCTTATGCTTGGATGGATGACCGCTTAAGTGTGATTCAGGGGCTTCCATTTATTCCAATACTTCTATATTCTATGTGGAGGTGTTGCACTCCCAGCTGCACTTTACCACTTTACCCACTGACCAGTTAATCAATTATCCCCATTTTCCCCTATCGAATTTCCCGCGTGGTGACCCACAAAGGCTGCCTCTTATTGCCTCCATGTTCCACATTTTCAAATTTTGCTTCTTTTCAGCTTTATGTTTTTGTATTTTTTTTTTCCAGGGGGTTTCGGTGTCACAGATGCTGCAGCTGTCCCTGGATAAAAGCATGATGAAAGAGCAAACTTTTTGCTTCTGCCTGCCTTACTTTATTTCGCTTTTCTGGCCAATTGCCAAACACAAATTTTACCCTGTTCTAGTTGAGGTAGTCGTCGAATGTACGAGTAGCAGGAAATGTTTGCTCTGGAGATCGGCGAACTGAATAAGCTTTAATGATGCCTTTGCCGTTGCTGAATTACATCTCTAATTGGAGCACAATCGGAAATGTTTTCATTAATCAGATGTATCAGGGGAATTAAACACATCGAGGAAAATATTTCCTCTTTGTACAATTATTTATTGCCGAGTTTTCATAACTCTCGCATGTGTGTTGCACAATGTCGGCTAATTAAAGGGCAACATGGCAAGGCAAATGAACTCCCTGGGTGATATAGTGTGTTACATAAGCCGTGTTTGTCCCGAAAAATTGGCATTGTTTATGAAATATTTTCAGAGAGGATGTCCAGCGTTCGAAATGTGAAAGCGGTCAGAGAAAAAAACCATCAAATTGAGTTGAGTTCGCATTTTTCGAATATTAAAGTTAATGCAGGACAGTGACAGGTGGATTGTTGCATAACAATCTCCATCTGACCGATGGAAAGGGATAAAAGGAGAGTTGGATTATGGGAAAAAGCTTTTAGGGCCGCCTCTTTCCCATTTTAAAAGAAGAGTTGCCAAAACGAAGTTCGAAGCAAATTGAATTTCCATTCAAAAGGCAAACGAGTTCATTTTTATTCAGCGAGCGTTGATGATTTTAAATTACTGATTTTTTTATAGTGCACCTTGTGGCCTGATCTTGATCAATTCGGCATTAGTTCCGTGCCTATTCCCTTTGTGGGTTATTCCGCCGACTTCAGAACGCCAATGATGATGCGAATCACGCACGGGTTCGAAAATTCCCCTCTATCTCGCTTACTAATCCCTCCAGACTTCTCTATATCTTTGTGTCTGGGCTTGGGACATTGAACCCCTGAAGATTGCGGCGGGGTTGGCTGATGTAATTAAATATGACAATAAGTAAGTGCAAAGACATTCAGCAAGTGCGAGAAAGAAGAAGAGGAAGATCGAGCAAGTGCAAACTGGAAATAAGATTTATTTCGTGCGATTCTTGGCCAAAATGGTAAAGGTTAGTCGGACCGTGTTTTTTAGCCAGAAAGCCTGTCATAGCCAAATAAAGAAACTTGCTCAAGCCGGTGAGATTTTCGACTTTGGATGATTCATTTTCATTGTCGCTCTCTTTCGTTCGCTGCTTAATTGTTCATTCATTCACTTGCTGGGCGTCGAGTTCATTTTTAGAATCTTAATGGCTCATTTTGAAGAACAATCAAAAGTAAATGGAAAGTGATTACAATTGCTTGGCCGTATATGGTTCCCAAACTGCATGTATCTGTATGCAATATGCACAAACCACTCGCAAATACAGATACAGATATAGATACATTGGCGATCTTATGCGATTCGCAAACAGGAAGTGAAGTTTACAAAACAAGTTTTTTCAGCGCGGTTTCTTCTCTTGTTTTGTTTTGTTTTTATGTTTTTCTGCTGCTTTTTTTTTGCGTTGCCCATTTCTGTGTTAGTAGATAAAAGATACAAAGATACCTTCACGTGGAGTGCGAAGTCGCCTTTGTATATAAGACACACAAATACTCCAGTCGTTAGTAACTAATTACGGAAAAATTATTTCTTTCGCTGATAAGAGAGCACGAAGATGTTGTTCAGAGTTGTTACACATTCTCTGATAAGAGTCTCTACCATATGGAAGATTTGCCCACAGAAATGGAATAGAGACACGAGGAAAACCAGAGACAAATGGGAATTTTCGCTTTTATAAGTTCAGGGCAACAGTTGAAGTAGTTATGAAGAAACATTATAAAAACAGTGCGATAAGACTGCAGACATCTATCTCGAACAAACAATTAGGTTTTCCATGTCCGCCAGCACGAAATGGCACAGCGATCTTCAAAGTCGTTAGTTTATTTACGCAGCTGTGTGTGGAACTACTTAATTTGGATTACTTCCAAGGTTAAGTACTTTTAGCTCTACTTAATAGTGAAAATAAAACCACAAATAGAATGTTTCTTACAAGGCCATAAAGCTAAAAACAATTAAAACTCTCCTATTACTTTAACAACAACTTCTCAGTCAATTTTAAGTTTTAAAATTCATTTTCAATGCTCACATAACCTAATTAAGAATCAACTGTGAAGAAAATGACAATTTCTAATACGTAATTGCGGCTCTTGGAGATAAGGAGTCCCCACTCGCTATATATATAATTCTGAAATTGTAGATGCGAGATAATTCATTTTCATGCCCCTCCGACCTACAATTATACACTTTACGTAACATATTATTGTTTTCTAAGCATATTTTTGTGAGATTAAAATGCCGTATTTGGCAAACTTCTTTGGGATTTCATTAGAAAATAATTATGGTTTGTTTTCCACAATTTGAATGTTTAGCGATCGTATATTATATTAGCGATCGTATCTTCAAATATCTTTACAAGAAATTAAAAAACCAATACACCCAAAATGCTAAGAAATTTCAGTTAAAAAATAAATTAAAACGATTTTTAAAGTTAAAAAACAAAAGATAAGTTTCGAACTCTCAGAGTTGCATTTACTCTAATCATGGTTTAATCTTAATTTCGTTTTTATTTTTATTCTTGTCACTTCCTCCAGGAGCTGCAGTAGGAGCTGCAGTAGGAGCTGCAGTTGGAGCTGCAGTGGGAGCTTCAGTAGGAGCTTCAGTAGGAGCTTCAGTGGGAGCTTCAGTGGGAGCTGCAGTAGGAGCTGCACCAGGTTTAGGAGGTTTCACTGCAGCACCTCCTGCTGGAGGTTTTCCAGGTTTTCCTGGTGGAAACAAGTCTCCAATACCCCCATTTGGGATACACCTTTGCGCTTTTTCATGCCACGAATAGCCAGGCGAACATGCTGTGTTAGTCCTCCATTGGGGCACTAAGGGCTGTGGGTCAATGAAGTATCTTGGTGGTCCGATACTCATGGTAGCGATCGTCTTGAATTTCGACTGAGTTGGATAACCAACTCGCATTGCTTTATAAGCCAAATCAACTGGAATAATCTCCATTAAAAGCAAATCCGAGAATAATTGAGAAAAATTAACTTAAAAATTAAATGTAACAAATCGATTTTTTTATATTTATAAATTATATAAGCCGTGTATTTAG